TTAGGTAATAATTGTGTTAAAGAAAACTCTGCGGTGGTATATGAACTGTGTAGCAGTGCGGAAGTTGTTCAGCTCTGCTAAGAGATGAGAGTCTTATTTCATTCTACCTCACTCCTACAAGGGTGCATATAGATTGTTTGTTGCCCCAAGGCAACCCCCGAGAAAAGTATTTACTTCATAGGAAGAAACACAATACTTGTAAGATTCATGTCGTCAAAAATAGCATTTCAAGATCTTGAAGTACAGTGCCGTCTGTGATAGGATAATATAATAATTCCTTATAGGCTTATGGATATACGGCATTGTACTTCAAGATAGATCTTGAAATGCTATTTTTGACAACATGAATTCTACAAGTACTGTGGATAGTCTCCAAATATCCATATGGGGCTCCTAATCTCAAGGTCAGCAGTTTGAAACTACCAGCTGTTCTGTGGGAGAAAGATGAGATTTTCTGCTCCCATAAATATTTACAGCCTCGAAAACCCTGTACAGGGTCGCTATGAATCAGAACTGACTCCATGGCACTTAACAACAACGTAAGGAAAACTGGAGTCCTGGTAAGGCGCTATGAGTTATTGCACCAGACTTCAAAGCTGTTTGAACTGCAAGGTCGGTGGTTCAAGCTCACCAGCTGCTCCTCGGAAACCCTATACAGGGTCGCTATGGGTTGAAACCAACTCAACAGCACTTAACAAGAACAACAACATAAGGAAGACCAGTGAATACCGCTATTATTCAAATTGACACAACAACCACTAAAACCAGTGCCAAAACAATTTCTTAAACTGCCACACCATTCCACAATTCCTGACATCAACCTCTACTCCTCCTCTCAGTATTCTCCACAATGTCCCAGGGTTCCACAATCCGCTGCAACTCATGATTTTCAAGGAAATGACTTACGGTTTTGAAAGCTGCCAAGTCCCAAATCTGCAGTTCAGATGTCCGTCTGGAGGATTCACCTCACTCATGAAGAAACGGGTTGTTGACTTACAAGGCTGTGGAAACTGGCAAGTCAGGTCAGGCAGCTCGCTCAAGTCCCAAAAACCACAGAGCAGATGATTAATCAAGCAAAGAAGCACACTGACTGACTCGCATCACCAAGATGGCTTCTTTTTATAGCCCTGCTAGGATTTCAAGTGTTTACAATTACCATTAATTCTGTTAACATCCACAGCTGAATCATGTCAGCCTATCAACATTTTCTCCTACCTTCTATCACCCAAAGGAGCTCTGTTAGCATAGTGGTTACAACTTGGGCTGCTACTCTCAAGGTCAGCAGTTCAAAACTACCAGCTGTTCCGTGGAAGAAAGATGAGGGTTTCTGCTCCTGTATAGTTTGCAGCCTTGGAAACCCTGTAGACGGTCGCCATGAGTTGGAACCAACTCCACGGTACACCATCACCACATCTCTTACCCAGATCATCAAGAAGAGTCCTTTGGTGGGAGTTACAAAGACTAAGGCTAGAAAAGACATATTAAATGGTTCACTATACCACAGATAAAGGAGCTCTGGTAGCATAGTGGGTATGACTCGGGCTGCTAACCTCAATGTAAGCAGTTCAAAACTACCAGCCATTCTGTAGGAGAAAGATGAGGCTTTCTGTTCCCATAAAGATTTATAGCCTCAGAAACCCTATACACGGGGTCGCCATGAGTCAGAACCCACCCCACAGCACACCACCACCACTTCAGATAGGTTCAAGAAACACCCTACACAAATATCTTAAGACAATGAGTTGCTACTCCTGGGGCCTCAGGAACATAGTCTCAGGAGACACCATGGTCAATTGGCATACATGGTCCACAAAGACCATCTTCTACATCCTATTTTGGTGAGTAGTGACTGGGATATAGAAAGCTCATGAGCTGCCACCTAAGGTGCAACTGTTGGTCTCTCCACGTGCTGAAGAAATAAGAGTGATAAAAATTGACGATGCTTGGAATCAACTAGTCCAGTGGACTAATGGAAACATCAGTCACCATGAGTCTAAGACCAAAAGAACTAGATGGTACCTGGTTACCACCACCAATTGCTCTGAAAGGGATCACATTAGATGGTTCTAGATAGTGGGAGAAAAATGTGGAACAAAAATCAAAATAATTTTTTTTTTTTAAAAGACTGGGAATATTGGTCAGAAAGAGACTGAAGAAACCCGAGACTATAGCCCTCAACCATCCTTCAGGTCTCAAATGGAACTCACCCTTATAGCCCAGTTTTCAAAGGGGCACAGTAACACTGGGAAGGTCTGTTCACCATGGAATGATCAATCATTGAAGATCGCAAGGGCAACATTTACCTAAAGACAAAGTTGAGAAGGGATGGAAGGGAGGGTGGAATGGAAATAGGAGCCCCAGGGAGAAAGTGGGATAACTGTAGTTATACGGAGGGAATTGCAATCACTGAGATGACTAAAGTGTATGATTTGTTGAATGTAAAACTTATGTAAACCTTCACTCAATTTGCAAGCTTTTTAAGACACACCCTATAATGATATTGCCTCATTAGCATAGCAAAGGAAATGCTGTTCTCAGATAGGATGAATATTCACAGGCAAAGGTATAAGGACAGGTATAATGCATATTTTAGGGGGGCACAATTCAATACGGAAGACATATTAAGATTTCCTTTAGAAGAATGACTCTGGTGACAATGAGGAGAAGAGATTCCTTGAGGGTGACAGTTGGGATAGTTCAGGTAAAGGCCCAAGTTGAGCTAGTTAGCAATGAGCGTAAGGACAGATGCAGAGAAATGAGAAAATAAAGAGGTATGCATCCACAGTGAACTCCCAGTTTCTGCCTAGGTTGAAATGAAATTATAAATGGAGAGAGATTTGCTTTGGGAGGAAGTCTGCTGGTACCGCCTGTTGGCGATCCAGGTGAAGACGCTTAGTAATCAACTGGGTATATGAGTCTGACACCTGGCCAGGAATAAAGACCCTACTCTCTCTTTGGAACTCTTGTTTTACTTTTACAATTTAATACTGTGCCATGAGGCTTCAGTCATGGTACAGGACTGCTGGAGAGGAATAGTTGGTCCCACTTCTGCCACTGGCTTAGATATGGGACCTCAGGCAAGTTACAGAACTTCAAGCAATGCCTATTGCCATATGGGAAAGGAAGTAACTCAGGAGACCTAAGGACAAATATTGCAAGCACAGCCCTTGAAACAAATTATCGCTCCCTTTCCTGGCTCTTCTGTACAATGTAAAAGTCTTACAGCAATAAGGCTAACCTCTACCACTGTCCAAGAGCCATGGGAGGAGGCTTCAGAAAATTTATGGAGAAATTTTATTTTTCCATGAACTTTTTGAAGTCCCCACCCATACTTCCAAAGTCCATCAAGTACCCAGAGAGACATCTTTACCTTCATTCCACTGGAATCCTGACTCCTTATTAGGTATGGACATTGTCTAAGCATGATTATTCTCTCACTTTTATGGAGCTGAGGTCTTAATCTAATATCCTCTTGCCATTGTGGTTCACAAGCCAGTTTCCTTGAATGCATCATGAAAATGCTCTGCTGTAGAAATCGTACCTGTAATTCTGTCTGCATTTTAGAATTGAAGCTGAGACCGGCTTTGTTTAAGGAACCCAACAAAAATAGCATTTTTGCAAAGCAACTTGTGCTTTTCTTGGCCAATTTGTGACTTGCACTGAAATGAAACATATTTTAACTCAAAGATTCCTGACAGTAATGGTACTGTGGGAGTTACATGATGTTCTATGGCTGCACCTCTTTTGACTTCAAATACCTATTAACAAAGGCTACGTGGGAATTGTTTATGGAATCTAGGCTTCCAGACAACTCAGGAGGGATTGTTTAGCTAGCTTCTGGCAATCGGGTATGAACATGGCAAAGATTTAAGCAAGGGCATTGGTTTTATGTGGGGAATAGAGAATCTCATTTTTAATTCAAGGGACTATGATGGAAAACTCATCAACAAACTTGAATATCAACCAACTTTGTAAAACACTGCTTACAAAGAAGGCAATATCATAATAGCACCCTGGGAAATCTAAATGATGCATGACAAAAATTCTCAGAGATGCACAAAAACCAATCATTCTCTCCAATATGCTGAATTGATACTGTGTACAATGAAGAGGCTTTGAAGTATTTACTTCTGATTCACGGCAAAGGTACCAGGTTATTCTGAATTGGGGGCTTAGACATATTCCCTAATTTAAAAAAAAAAAAAAAAAAAAAAAAGCTAGATAGTCCAATTGGCCCAATGGACTCTGCTTTATAAGTTAAATGTAAGCGACGGGTCGCCACAACCTTCTTGGTCTCATATTTAATGTTTATAAAGGGTAAATAAAGTTCAGTGTTCAGATTCAGGATGCAGCCAAGGATTGATTTAACCTCATATAAAAAGCAGTGGCCTACACCCAAATTGTTCAGATGGTCTCTGAAAACCGATAAGAGACAGAGGGAGAGAGACATGCCGTTGAGTTGACTCCAACTCATGGTGGCCTATGTACATTGGAATGCAGCGTTGCCTGGTCCCATGTCAGCCTCATGATTGTCAATATGTTCAAATCCATCACTGTGGCTATTGTGCCAATCAGTCTCACTGAGGGTCTGCTTTGCCCCCCATTCATCTTCTGTTTCACCAAACATGATGTCCTCTTCCAGCCATTGATCCTTCCTGATTGCATGTCCAAAGCAAGCGAGTTTTCTTGTGAGCCCATAGTGTTTTCATTGGCTAATTTTCTAAAGTAGATCACCAGATCTTTCTTCCTAGTTTGTCTTAGTCTGGAAGTTCCATTGTAGCCTGTGTACCTTGAGTGACCCTGCTTGTATTTGGAATGCCTATGACATGGCTTCAGTATCCCAGCAACATGTAAGCCACCACAGGACAACAAACTGATATGCAGGTGGTGTAGGGGTAAGCTAGAGTTGTTGGGTTGTTGTTTTTTTTAATGTGTCAAAAATGTAACTTGAGTAAAACCATCTTTGGCTGACTTCATTTTTTTTTTTTTTTAATTAACAGGTAGGAGATCAAATCATTGAAATCAATGGGGAAAGTACAAGGGACATGACCCACGCCAGAGCAATAGAACTCATCAAATCTGGAGGAAGAAGAGTGAGGTTACTGCTAAAGCGCGGCACAGGCCAAGTCCCGGAGTATGGTGCGTTTCACGTTTTGATTCCCCTTTGGTGTGTTTCTTCTGTGGGTAGTAAATGCCTAGGCTTATTTATACAACTACATCTATCAACATATGTATTTATCTATAGACAAATATCCACAAATGGATGTTTAAGCTAAAGACATTTAAAGATATTACATATCTATCTTCTTTGCTCCCTCAGTTAGGTAATGTGTAAAATGTCAAATGTAGGGCCTTCCAGGGCATCTCTGAGTGTGTTGGGAGATCCAGCCTCCACTGACAGATTAGAACTTCTGGATCAACTGACAGTCCTCTGTTCATTTGAGTCCACAGTAATACATCCATTGTTTCCTAATATTAACTCATGCATCAGACTGTCCCTGAGGATTTGTAAGTGGGTACAGAGGACAGATCAGAACAAATCCTGAGGTGTGAACCTTAAAACATAAACTTTAGTTTATTGCAGTTCATTCAATAGTTACATTTCCTTGATATTTAAGAATTATTCCAGAAATCCATTACTTTTTGGGGATTTTTTTTTTTTAAGTTTTATTGTGAATTATGTGATAGTTTACATGGGAGAACATTAGTTTTACATTCATACTATAGTATATCATTTCATTGCTATGGTTACAATCCCCTCCATGCATCATCAACCAACCAAAGGGTTTATACTACAAGCCTGCCCCCTTGGTCACCAGCACACAGCCCCTCTCCCTCTCTGTGTCTTACGTCCCCGACAGCTCCATCTCTCCACGTCATCGTCTCTGCCTCCATCTCAGGCATCACTGCTTCTCTGGGTAGGGTCCTGCTCTCCGCTCTTCTCTTTTTTGGGATGTTTTTGAGGAGAGCTTTAAAGTACATTTTAGTTCATAAATTTGTCTTCAGAAAATTTAAAAAGTGTTATCTCCCAATGGCTAATTTCAGACACCACTAACAGCATAACTCCAATGTACCAGAAACATCAAAATCTGACCTAACCTCAAAGGGTAACAGGCAGAGGAACAGAGACAGAAATCAGTGAGTATTTTTCAAAAATAGAGACACAGTTGCCACCAGCCACCAAGACCGTTCTAATTCATGGCAACCCCATGTGTGTCCAAGTCCAGCTGTGCTCCATACCATTTGGTTTGGTTTGGTTAGTACATCACCAGACCGTCTTCTGAGGTACCACTGAGTGAACTCAAACTTTCAACCCTTCCATTAGCAGCCAAGTATGTTAACTCAGGAGTGTTCAGTGAAGAGCAGCCCAGATAATACCCATCTAGCTGAGGGAGACAGGATCTAACTGCTCATGTGAATAATTAGCTGAAAGGAAATGTAAATTGTATGTTTTGATAAATTGATTCTCACTTCAACCCCTTTCTTCCCTACCCAAAAAATTTCTAAATGATATATATATATATATTTGCTGAAATTATGCCTTTATTCAAAGTTATCTACATAATTGATTAACATGCCCTTATTTAGCAAGGCTGATGGAGTTCTGAGTTTAGATAAAATATCTGAATCCAAGAGTCCGTAAATACATTAAGTTCCAATGTCTTGTGCATACCTCAAAATTGACACATAGTTCTGGTAAGCCATCACATTAGGAGCCAGGAAGCATTCTGGAGTTTCTGTAGGATTGGCTTTATGCCCAAGAAAACATTTTATCCCCGTTCTCACCCTGATCTAATGACATCGTTTTAAATATTAATGTTAGCAATCAGCACACTCCTGATCCTGTGCTAAATAAGTAAATTTGGCACCTGCATCCCTCCCTTTGTAAAGAATCTGAACTCTTGGAATAGAATAGTTCTTGGCACCCTAGAGCTTCAGCTGAATCAGTAATATCAAAATGAACTGTGAGGTTCTAAAATGTCTTAAAAAAAAAAAAAAAGACTTCATTTTAAAACTGTATTTAAGTCCATAGCAAGACATGATTGTTATCTACACCAAAGAATGTTTTATTGTTCTAACAAGTTAATCTTTAGCAAAGTTCATATGAACAACATGGGTATCCTGAGACTTTTATTCTTTTGTAGAATCACTACATGGTCCATATTTTCTGCATCCACCATGCCAGCTGCTAGTCTATAGTGAACAGTAGGAACTGACCAACCTGTGGGGGAACTCAAACTGAAATGCTTAAGTATGAAGCCACCTCAAATCATCTTTAAGAACAAATAAAATCCTGTTTTAAAACAAAACAAAAATTCAAGATCATGTCAACATTATACCATTAATTCTTCACATTATCCAAAAATATATGGTTATGGTTAAATTCTATAAATAAAGACAGAAAGTTGGCTAAATATGTTGCGGGGCCAACCATCAATGGTAACTAGAGTGGTATTGCAAACTTACTTATATTCTTCTAAGATGTAACGTTAAATCCATACTTAAAGGTAACAGTAGATCATCAGCTACTTCTGATGCTAGATTGACATGGTTTTTGACAGTAAATTAACTTTAGAAATTATTTCACAAAAGAGAACATGAATGAGTAGAACAATCTCCTTTAAAGAAGGAAAAGAATCATCATAAACTAAGTAGACATTAATTCTTCAGGTAAATCTAAGCTGAAAGATGTGTGAATTATGCTTGGGAAACCAAGAAGGTTAGGGAATAATATCATGAAAGGCTGTTTTTACACTCTCAGAGAGACTAATGAGGGGAAAAATTTCAGGGCTCCCCAGGATCACACCTCCATGTTCAGAGATTTACTAAAAGGACTCACGGACACAGCATATATCCTCATAACTAAGTTATTTCCAGCAACGTAGGAAGAAAACCCAGCAGAATCATAAGAGGAAAATAGAGGTGGTGTATACAAGAATCCAGGTACAGACTGTTTTGTGCTCTCTCTCTCTCCAAGGAAGGGTCACTCAGAACACACTCATCCTCAGAAATAAAAATGCAGCAATATGTTCAGTGTTTCTAGCTAGAGACTCTAGTAGAGACTCAGTGCTCAAGGTTTTCACTAGGGGCTACTCTTGCAGGTACCCTCCTACTTAGCACATTCCAAAATTCCAGACTCCAAGAAAGGAAAGCTGGTCTTCAGCATAAACCATATATTTTGCTCAGAGTTTGGGAACAATGAGCCACCCTTATCATTTAGGTAAAGTTTGATATTTGTATATTGCTATTGTTATGTGCCATCGAGTTGGTTCCCACATCACAACCCTGTATATAGTTTCCAAGGAGCAGCTGATGAGTTTGAACTGCTGACCTTGTGGTTCAAACTGACCTCGAGGTTTAGTGCTTATCCTGTGGTGCCACACTAGGACATAGGCTACTTTTTAGCAACCATGTTCACAGATTCCAGCCAAGAGTCACCCTTGTAACTTTTCTAAGTCTCAGACCTAGTGTGTAATCTGTCTCCTACCCCAGGGACAAACTAAAGCAGTAGTCACATCCATGGGCTGTCCAAACAACCCCAAAGCACAAGGCATGCTCACAGCCATTCCTTCAGCCTCAATTAAATAGACTACATCATGAAACAGAATGTTTTGTTCAAGATAAAGCAGGTGTGCTTTAATAAAATTGACGAGAGATAACAATAACAACAAAAGAAAAGTCTTGAGCTTACCAGAACATGTAACCAAGAACATAATTCATTTTGTCCAAAAGCACTCTAAATCTCAGGAAATCTGATTTTGATATCAAATAGGAATATAATCCTGTGTTTATTTCCTCTGTGAGACTCTTAATGTTAAGATTCTAAACTTGGCATCAAATCCATCCTTAAAGATTGTGAGAGGTTATCAACATAAAGAGGAGACATACTTTAGCCAGTGAGGGCAGTGTTCAAGCTTAACTGGGAAGAGGGAACATTAAGATGAAGGAACTAGCAGACAACTCTCTGTCCCTGGAAGGGTTATAAGTGATGTCCCTCCCTCTGATACTGACAGAATTCAGAATTCAGAACAGCTTTGAAGCAAGAACCTTATTTGGACTTTTGGACTTGTCAAAGAAAAGCTGGTTTCAGTCAAGAGAAATACAAAATTCTCACACTGAGTTTTTAGGGTCATCTGTGACTGAGCAACAAATCTCAGGTACAATAGGAAGAAAAAACTACCAAGGGCAATCTGTCAGATTATTGACTAAACAAAATCAGTGTGAATCCAAGTGAGCTGAGGGAAGGAATAAATATGCTACAAATATGCCATCTGTAATTACTGTAAGACTAATCATCAGACGACACCTCGGCCAATTCAGAGGCATAAATCAACACAGCCAACCACGGAAGTGACTACACACAGATTGTCGAGCAGCTGCAAGGGGAGTCGGAAAATGATAAGGGCTTTGAAGGAGACTCTGCTTTTATAGTTAAGTCCTTGAAGGAGATGCTCAGGAGATAGGCACTTCAAGTCTCCTCTGGTACTCAGGATAAGAATGTGTTGATTACAAACTCAATGGAAAGCATGAGCTGCCCCACCCCAACCCCCCCACACAGGTCTCAACATCTAGCAGGAATAAGGAAACTTCTCTTCACCATACTGAGAAAAGAAATCAAAAGACTTTGTCCCAAAAGTGGTGCCCTCCTTAAAACTGGTTGCTGCTATTCAGATTAAAGCTAAAAGGTTAAGAGAAAAGGAAGCATGCATCTGATATTACAACTGCCCAAGAATAAATTATACAAATTAGCTCCCTGCCTTGAAATACAGGTGTCCTTCATTAACATTCATTTCAGCAACACTTGATTTATAAACTGAGCCACGGAGCCAGGGTTGGCTCAAGGGTAAATACAGGTGCCATTGTCTGAAAAATCCCGAGCAATGCAGAGCATTTCCCCCCAGCTGTTCCAATTTGATGAAAAGAAAGCAAAAGAGAAATCTGTTTTCAGCCTTGGTTAGTGGACTGGCCTGTTTATTCTCTTAAGAAGCAACAAGGCAGGTCCTTCTGAATAGAACACTGAGGGAGTCAATTGTAAATAAGTGGGAGACTCTACAACTGTAAGGGGTCAAGTACAACTAAAAAGGATAAAACCAAATCTCACGATAAAAAACATCAAGCAATTGCTGAACGCCAAGTGC